TAACGTGCACGAGGTCCCGGGTTTAATACCCCAGTACCTCCAATTTAAAGAAGAAAGAAAGAAAGAAAGAGAGAAAGAGAGAGAAAGAGAATTATTACATTTTTTTAATTGAAAAAAATATAAAATTTAAGTCTTGAAGTTGTTCCTTACATCTATGCACGGAATTAGGTATTCCTTTAACTGTCTCCCTGAGTATTATATCAAGTTGGAAACAAAAACATTCCTAGAATTACCTACTCCAAATTCTTTATTTGCTAGAACAGTTTGGGTAAAAGGAGCCTCCGTCAATGACTGAACTAAGACACACTGTGTACGAGGCTGAAGCTGTCAAGCACCCCGCATCTATCTGGATGTCCATACGTGTAGACAGGAGGATATTTCTGAAAAATGAGGAAGTCTCAAAATCCCCTCCTGAGAAGAACAAGCAGTAAGCTCACTAAGGACCCTGTGGAAGCTCTAAAGGTCATCTCAGATCGGCTCTGATCATCTCTTTCTGTTCTGATTAAAAATATGCTTATGGAACCATAATAATGGAAGAAGAGTGGAGAAGAAGGCTTCGTGATTGAAAAAAAAAAAAGGCAGAAAAGGCAGGAAGAAAGCCTCAACTTTGAGGCTTCTTGCTTTTTAATCTAAAGGGATCTGAAATTCTCTGGACTTGACAGAGATGGGTCCTGGCTTCCTAGCCTTGCAGAAGACAAATGGGTCCTCGTGAGCTGATCTGGTCCCTCATGAAGCTCTGGTCTCCCCTTTTCTTGGTCTTTCTTTTTCCAGCAACAGTATACATGGGAAGGTGAGGTGTGTCGCCTGCTGGGTTAGCCTGAGGAGGCAGAATTTGATACCTGCCACTGTAATGACTGTTAACTTTCCAGCTGATCAGCAACAGTTAGGCGTGAGAAGACTGTTTGCCCCACTAAACGCCAAAGTAACCAGGAGTCTGCTAGGAATAGGCAGTTTCCAAGGATTATAATTTTTGAGCCTGAGAAAATCTATACGAAGAGAACTCCTAGGTAACAAGCAAGCAGGCGTGGGGTGGGGGGAGGTGTTCACTGTACATTCCTCAGACACTCTTTCAAGAGCCAAGAACTTATTCCCCCAACTATTGGGGATACTGGCTGCTGGCTGTTAAGACTCACAGATGATCCCTCTCTGGGAATCACCCTTGGGAACTACCCTCCCTCAGTGGGAGCTGCCTCACTCCAACGTTACTGAGCCCCTCCCCAAGGGCAGCTCAAGTCCAAGGTCTGCAAAACAAAGGCCTCCTTTGAAGCAAACTCCAAAGGGCCATCGCAGCCCCACAGCTCCC